TATGTCTGTGTATCATTTAACGTTCTATAGTCTCTCATGATCCCATACGGGATGGCTCATCACATGTATTTTATCACGTGACCTGTATATATTTTGTATTTTATATGAGATGAAACATGAAATAAATTACCTTACCTTTACCTTTGTACGTTAATAGTCTTTGTATCTGAAAGTTGGCATGATATATGAAAGGCATTGGCGTATCAGTCTGATCAAATAGGTTTCAGATTCAGGTACAGTTACCCGAAGAAAGCACATACATGTCTATGTAGTTCCATCAGATGCCATTCTGGATGTACAAGTGATTTGGAGGAAGGGTAATTTTTTTTTCAAAGACAGGCAAGTATGTCCTTCACATTAGGAGAAAATTACTTTGTAAGCTAACCCCTTCCTTTGAAGTAAAATGCATTGAAGTGGTGACTACCAAAAGTTCGTTTCTAAAATATGATTGCAATTCGTAAATCTTCAATCAATCAACCTTTATTTACACATATGCTGAAAGGCTACATGCCCAAAGTACAGATTGCATGGGTAGTGTAACATACATATTATCAATTAATCCTTTAATATGCATTTTCTATAATTCATTGCATGAAATACATATGATGTCACATTTTTACATACTGCCATTTCGGAAGCAAATAATCTTGACAATATTCAATATTCAATACGCAAATGATCATATACTGGACACACAACGGGAGGATCTTACTCATCTCGTTCTTCCTGCTTATTGCATATTTTACAAACTCTGTGTTCTTTTAACATTCGTGTGTATGTATCCTGTTCAATGTTAAGATTAGGCGGTGAGCATCTTTTTCGCGAAAAAAATATATTCTTTTTTTGCTAAAGAGATGTCAAAAGGTATTCTTCAGTTATACATCGATTTCTAATCATTACATTGCATTTCACGTTGATTTTTAATCATTACATTACATTTTACATTGATTTGTAATCATTAAACCAAGTTCAATAATAGTTTTCTTAACAGATGCGACCCGATATGGGCTTCCAGAACTATCATACAATGACATCATTTCATAACATTTTCTTGGCTATCTATAAGGAGGTATATGATAATTTTACCCAATGCCTTAGAACTTAATCCTGTGCATATGTAAACAATGTAACTTTACCACATTCACCATATACTTAGCACTTGTTTTGTAGGCTACGGCATTGAGACTACGAGATGAGGACACCATTATTGATTACATGTAAAAGTATATTATTTATTTCTTATTTGAAAATGTTACTTCGACCTACATGTATAATTATTCAAGCCTATTAGTTGGAACACAATCAATCAAGCGTGAACTATATGTAAACCATCATAATTTTTATCACTGATTTTAATTGCACCTGATTTTTTATGTTGCTTCCCTATATATTTGTAACAAGTATGTTTGTCATATTCTTTCAGTCTTATGTAAACAGTGACGCCAGGTTGGTCTACATCAATCACATGCTGAATCACTTAACTTGGCATAAGTGATTTCTAATCTCACATTTCTGAAGAAACATGTGAAACATTTCATTGTTTAAGTTGGAAAGTGAACAGCTGCCCAAGTGAAATTATTTCATTAACATCATTATTTTGTTATCCATTTTAATTCAAAATTACAAAACACTGACGAAACATCAATATACCCTATCCCTCATATCGCAGGTAAGTTCGGGCCCGAAACAGGATGTAAGGGAGGTAACTCCAGCATGCACAATTGTCAAGATCGATTCAACTTTAAATAGGTTGTTTTCTGCATTTATATCCAATCAATTTGACCTAAATAAGTGTTATAACAATTGTGAGTAAGGAATGAAATATTAGGAATGTCTTAAATCGGCGTGCGGTGCACAGTAATTGTGTGACTATACGATAACAGTGACAACGACACCAGGACATCACATAAACCGATAATAGGTCAGACTGAACACACGTGCGGCCTATGAATATTGTACCTTAATTCAACAATATCTAACACACGGCTAAACCCAGTACCATGATGATATAATTGATCCTCTACTTCCTACCAAAGTGCTCGTTTACTTACCAATATCTGGAAAACAGACACGAACTGGACTGTTTACTGTGTAACCGCTGACAGTGTACGCTTCCGTGTGTGGGTCATGTGATCTACTTTCGGTTCAAGTGTACAGGTGAATGGTGAGTGTAAGTTTATTGTGTGTCGCGACTAATATGACTAATGTGTCTAATTTGGGAAAATGTATCGTGTCTCTGTCCTCATTTCCCATAGTTCAGTACTTGCTGAATGTGGCCTCAGCGGGAGAATAAAATCAAACATGGAGCGAGGTTCATTTTGTCGCAACTACTTTAACAACAAAACCATCATGGTGCAAAGGTTGTCCACCCCGCACTGATTGTATGAGTGTTATCTGTACCTGGGCATTTGACAGTTTCCGTAGGGAAGGATGATTTACCAAATACCTTATTAAATATGTATAATATATATATGATTGTGAGCACTGGTATTATTTACCAGCTGTTGCCATGATCCGCCAATCTCACTAAAATCAGATCTTAGTTCTCGCTACCACTAAACAAAGATCTGAGGACATCCCATTACGGGTCACGTCAGACCGACCTTGCGCGAACTTTGATCGACCAATGGATTGACCAATCAGAAGGGAGCTTTCTTGTGCTTTACGGCACCAATTTCAAATTGGCGAATACGCTTCGAAACATATGTTGACAAATTCTCGATTACAAATTTGAAACCTGAACAAAAGAACATTCTGGAATGGCTAATAGATGATCTAGATTGTGTGGATTCAGTCGTTAAAACCGTAAGTATCGTTCGGAATACCCTGTGTTATGCATTTCGAGGTAGAAATCACATTCTGACTGTCACTTTCGTAATCTGGTAAGCGACGCTCTGATTAGTCGGATGAAAGGTCGTTCTGCGGCGACCCCTTATGGGATGTCTTCAGATCTTTGTTCAGCGGTAGCGAGGATTAAGGTATAATTTTAATGAGATTGATGATCCACTTACAGAGAATAGAGGCCAGTGAGTCAATTTTGTGATTCCGTAAGTTCAGCTACATGGGCTGGAAGTCAGTGTCACCTCATTAACTGTTGGAAAACATAAGCATATGTACTGAAAGTCGTTTATATCAAAGGGTAAATCGAGTCACTTCCACGAGCCCTTGTATTACCGTTTATGATTGTAAACCTAATCCTGCGTCTTTCATTATGATTTGTTTAATGTTCATTGATCTTGTGTGGATAGTTAGTGATTTCAAGTATGATGTGGAATGTTTTGTAGAGACTGCGATAAGGCGAGATGAGGATCCTGCTTTTCATTACGTGTATAAGGGATCCGTGACGATCAGGGATAGAATATGTCTTCAGCAACCCATGCTTGTCGTAAGAGGCGACTAACGGGATCGGGTGGACAGGCTCGCTGACTTGATTGATGCATGTCATTGTATCCCAATTGTGTGGATCGATGCTCATGATGTCAATACCCGATTGTCTGGTCCAGAATCGATTATTTACAGACCGCCCTTATGTATCTGAGATATTGCCGGGAGCGGCGTTAAACAACAAACAAACGTGTATTAGGCGAACTTCTTCTTTGATAGGCATTAAGAAGTTGGAGTACTAAGTAAGGATAAGAATTTATAGATGAACAACTTTTTTATTACAATTAAGAGCGACGTTTCGGTGTAGGTTCTAACACACTTGCTTGATAACGGTGGTAGAGCCTACACCGAAACGTCGCTCTTAATTGTAATAAAGAAGTTGTTCATCCATAAATTCTTATCCTTACTGTGTATAAGGCGAGAAGACAGTACTATTCATTACGTGTATAACTCAAGATGACGACACTGCTATTCATTACGTGTATAAGGCTAGATGAGGACAATACCTTTCATACAGCTGGAGTATTGCTGAATGCGGCGTTAAACAACAACAAAAAAATCTTGTTTTTGTGATTCTTACCATTCGATGTCGAGGTCGCGTGACGTTAGTCGATGTCACGGTTCTATTGTTGTTTTTTTTCTTCTAAATTTGACTTTCCGATCCAAACCAGGGTTTATGACCTCCACTCTACTTCTTTGCTTGAATTAAATTATAGTGACGTGATGACTCCTTAATACTAGTATTCGTTTTGTACTCCACTATCCCATATGACTTAAGAAAAAACTTCATTCCTTGATCCCTGGGACTTCATTCTTGACAATAGAGACAGTTATTCTATCGTCAGGGGTTCAGGTCAATTTGTCAAAGATGAAAGCAAATGCCATCTGAAGTTAACTAAAAAAAACAATATGTGAAATACTGGACTTCCTCATTGATAACAACCATATAAAATGTGGGGGTAAGACATTTGGGCAAAAAGCAGGTATACCCATGGGAACCAATTATGTTTCCCTTCTTTCTGATTGGCATCTTTTTGCATATGAATCGGACTTTCTGCTCGGAAAGGCAAAGTCAAAAAAGGTAATTTAGCCAAGAAGTTTAACTTGAGCTTCAGGTATGTCGATGACCTGATATCGTTCAATAACCAATTCCTTCCACTGATTAACCCACCTGAACTAGAAATAAAGGAGACCAGTGAGACCACCTCATGTGTTTCATATTTAGATCTATGCTTAATGACTCAGAGTGACAAAACAACTCTCCACAAGAATGTATGAGACGAGAGTTGACTTCTACTTTCCAACAGACAACTTTCCCTTTATGTCGAGCAATATTCCTGCAGCCTCAGCCCTTTGTGTCCAGAAAAGATGTTTGATCAGAATGAAAACATTCAAGGCTTTCAAAATGTTATATAGTAGACATGTGGAAGACATTTCCAAAGTTGACGCATTAGTTACAAGAATGATGTCCGATGCAATTCCCTATTTTGCCATGTACCATATTGTCCCATGTTCTGTAGGTGAACAATTGACTTGCCTTTGCATCTGGGTGGCACCGACATACGCTCACCTTTTAGCGAACACCTGGTATCTACACTATGAAAGAGTCGGAATCGTAAGTCGACTCTACTTTTGCAGTATGTCACTTTTATTCAGATATAATAGCATCTGTTATGCACAGGGTGTGAGAGGGAATTTTTGTGGAGACTACTGCTAATTACATGTATATTATTTATTTATTTTTCCAAGTGTTACTTCGGCCTATATGCATTTAAGCATATTTGATGGAACGCACACCATCTAACCATGACCTATGTACAAAGTGCTATGACTTTTATCACTGATATAAATAGGATATAAAGAGGATATAATGGACGTACACGGTTCCACTTAATTCTTAATGTTTCTTCTCAATGTACTTTGCACAAATATGTTCCGTCATATCTCACGACTATAAGTAAACAGTGACGCCAGCTTGGCCTATACGATCACATGTGGAAAAGCACTTAACTTGGAAGATGATTTCTAATCTTTTCACTTTTCTGCAGAAACAACTGATGTGAAACATTGTTATTTTTTTAAGTTGGAAAGTGTGCAGCTTCTCAAGTGACATTATTTCATTACCGTCATTATATTGTTATTCACTCAGTATCCAGAATTACTATTTACTGACAAAACGTCATCAGATCGCAACGCAAATACTGCAGTCTGATTCAGGTTTTGGACGTGGTGTAAGGGAGGTGTAAGCCTCTGCGTGTACAATACGCTGGAGAGAAGCAATTTGAAATAGGTTGTAAGTGAGGTAACGAAAATGTGTATAACACGATTATTTTGATGACACTTGTAAGAGAATATATATATAATTTAAATATATTTAAGGATTTGTCCCCTGGATGTTAATGTTCATGCAACAAGGTAGAGGAGGGATGGAATCTGCCCTCCATCGACGTAAGTGCCATTGTTGCTGTGTTTTGAGTCCCTGAATGTAAAACTAACACCGTCAGCACATAAAATCTCTCTCTTTCCACTGTATCCTTCCCACGTATCACTGCCTCGTATCAGCACTGCCAGAGTATACCATACTCCCGCTGTCATAGCAACAGGCTCCTCAAACATCACATCAAACACTTGACTGTTGCCTTTGTACTCGGTTCATATGGGGAAATGTGTGAACCATTACGCAACGAGTTGACAATTGTTTTAGGTATGCTTGTTTGTGATAAGACGGAACCCAGTCGCTAAAATGGCCACGAGATGGGCACGAGTCGCTATTCGGCTTGTCCCGGAATAACACGAGTTGGTCACGAATGGCTTCTCAAGTGACATTATTTTATTACCGTCATTATATTGCTATTCACTCAGTATCCAGAATTACTATTTACTGACAACACGTCAGCAGATCGCGACACAAATACTGCAGTCTGATTCAGGTTTTGGACGTGGTGTAAGGGAGGTATAAGCCTCTGCATGTACAATATTCTAGAGAGAGGAAATTTGAAATAGGCTGTAAGTGAGGTAACGAAAATGCGAACCACAATGACGATTATTTTGATGACACTTGTAAAAGAAAATATATTTAAGGTATTGTCCCCTGGATGTTAATGTTCATGCAACACGGAAGAGGAGAGATGGAATCTGCCCTCCTTCGACGCTAGTGCCATTCTTGCTGTGTTTTGACTTCCTGAAGGTAAAACGAACACCGTCAGCACATAAAATCTCTTCCTTTCCATTTTGTCCTCGCAACGTATCATTGCCTTCTATCAGCACTGCCAGAGTATACCATACTCCCGCTGTCATAGCAACAGGCTTCTCAAACATCACATCAAACACTTGACTGTTGATTTTGTACTCAGTTTTATCTTGAATCTTGCATTGGAGAACATCTTCCTCGTTCCCAAAGTAGGTGGTGACAAAGTAGGTAGAGGGTGTACTCTCATAGGCAGGCCCATACAGGCTGTATCCACAGAGCATCAGGTTTCGGTCACTTTGGAAGGAAATGGCATCATGAGCATTACACGAAACACCCCAGCCTACACACTGTGTTGAAAACCTAGTTATGGAATATGCGGTTCTTTGTTTTCTCTGCTTAGTGTTGAAGGGTTTCACATCATTGTCAGGGCATACACAATATTCCAAGATGCTGAGGCGCTCTGGTTCAGTCAAAAGACCGCTAGCTTTAACGTCCTTAACCATAAACATTTGCTTCAAAAGAGGAAATCTGACTTTAAAAAAAGTCTCGCCAAGAACCGTTCGCTTTGTCTCAGGAGTTACCTCCCTTCCCTGACGTCTGCACTCTGCCTCTGCCCAGCGGTTAACGGCGTTAAAGATGACGTGCTCCTCGGCTAACAAATCATCTGACTCCACAATCTGATGCAACAACACTTGGCTCAGTGTCAGGAAACCAGATGACTGTAGTGACCTCTCACCTGTATCTTTAATCAAGGTCAAGGCCTTCTGAAACAACTGGCTTTGATCAAAACGATGAGCAGCATCTAGAATCACACAGGCGTTGTCAACGTTGAGGTGTTTCTCCAGGAACTCCAGACATTGGGATTCTAAGGCGGTGATGGCATATTTTCTGGAGGCGTACAGTAGAGCTGTTACGTTGTCAGCATCAACAGTTGTGTTGTCTGTGTAAAGGTATCTGAAGAAGGAGAGGACTGCGAATAATTTTGCTGCCAAATGATGCAGTATTTAAAAAATGATAACTCTACCGTTCAACGTAAAATGTATTTAAGATCAGTTAAAGTTTGAATGCCAGAATATTTGATTTCATTGTTGACATATGTTCTCCCTGTTGGAGTTGTATGTGAATTAAATGCTGCTTTGAAGAGGTTTTCAATAATCATGACATCTCTCATTTTAAAACGAGGTCAGACATGCCTAATTTAGTGTTCAAGGTATTAGACAGTTATCACTTTGGTTAAACCCATGAGTATGGAATCTGTTTTCGAGACTGGTCATTCTCTTGTGTTGAGGTTTCATATAAACTGACGTCCAAAAGAAACTTTACCAACTGAAAATATAAATTTCTTTTGATGAAGTCTAAAACACACAACCTAAATACAACAATAGTGTATGCAGAAAATGTTAATCGTCTGTTACATGTGAATAACACGACATTGTCGTGCACCACGGACAACTGCAAATGCACGTGCGGGTAAGGGTATACAACGATTGCAATGGCAAGTCAGACATCCACAGTGATAAATAAACACAAAAGAAATGCCACGACTCACATCCGAACAACGTGAACGAGCCTTGGATATGGTACAGATGGGAGTCACCCACGCCGATATTGCACGAACCTTCGGTTGCTCTCGTGTTGCCGTTACCAACTTGATGCAACGTTACAGACAGACAGGGCGGACCGCTGACGGACCAAGAACAGGCAGACCCCGGGTGTCCACGCCCTATGATGACCGGTACTTGCGTACCTTGCACCTCCGAAATCGCTTCCTGAAAGTGACGTCATCGGCGACAAATGCCTTAGGTCACAGGGTTAGTCGACAGACAGTGGCCAGGAGACTCAGGGCTCATGGAATCAGGGCTTTTAGACCATACAGAGGACAGCTATTGACAGCGCAACATCGTTGTCTGCGATTGAGATGGGCCCGGACTGTACGACGTTGGCAACGACGTGACTGGCAGAGGGTTGTCTTCACTGACGAAAGTCGATTCTGTATGTTTAGGGCTGATGGAAGACAACGTGTTTACCGCCGAAGGGAACTGATCTCGGCCCTCCAAGACGAATGGCGTCAAATCCCACGTGACCTCATCAGACGACTGACTATTTCTGTGCGTCGAAGAGTTTTTGCGTGTATTGAGGCATTTGGTGGTCACACACGCTACTTATGACTTGTTATTGAACGTCAGCGATTGTTTATGTACTCTGACTATTGTCCATGATTCTGAAAGCTCGAGTTTTGTACTACACCCAACTTTGGGGGGCTCTGACGTCATTCTCGGTCGCGGTATAATTGTCATTTTAAGTGTTGATTATGTTGATATATTGATCTTCTCAATACACTTTACTTCATGCATGTATGTTTTGTTGTTTTGGAGCAAGAGTGATTTCAATATCCCCACATGAGCATGACATTCACCCAACATGTGGCCCTACAGCGCTAGTATAAGATGGCTTTAGACTTTAAGCTCTCGCCACGTGTGAAAAGAATGGCATATTCAGCCTTCTGTAAAAGAGCCGCGCTGGTAAAAGGCCGAATTCACGGACCAATGCCTACGTCAGATGATGACAACCTGCACTCAATATTCCCTCTTGAGTATGATGGTGATACAGTGTTACTTTTATAGTTTTCTAAATAATGTTCTGTTCTGTAATACAGTAATGATTAATACTTACAAGAGAAACTGTCTGAAATCCTCAGGCTCTATTTCCGGAACACTGACTTCCGACGTCTCCGCCAGGGGGCCGGTAAACATGGCGTGGAACACACAACTTCTGCTGATGAGCACGTAGCGATGGGCCTTAATCACGTGACCTGTACTTCCCACACGAAATGTGACGTCACAAAACTCTTCCACATCCAACATGCGTAGATTACATTGAGCGAGGGTCTTCCCCGCTTGCCAGTTGTCAACAAACCCTGACGTACTTTCAGCTTGTTGTACGTTCACAGCCGCCATTTTATCTGAAAGTTGTCATGACATATCAAAGATATTGAACAAATAGTTTTCAGATTCAGGTACAATTACCCAACGAAAGGTCATGCATGTATCCCCACGTAACATGTTTTTGAGCCTCAAATCTTTTCGAGTTCTTTAACAATACGCTACCATACGCTTTATGACGTAATGAAGATAGACGCTTCAAAGCTCACTGCATTCGTCACCACTCGCCCCTTTCCGTAACCTGCAAGAGTGAGTAAGTGAGTGAATTGGGTTTAACGCCGCTTTTATCATTATTCCAGTTATATCGCGGCGTGTCAGCTTAATGTGGGAGGAAAGCCCGAAGTGACGCAGGTCTCAGACATTTACCACTTCGGTGAAACCCACGAGCACGGGTATGGTGCTGACAAACCTAGAAACATAATCGGGGCGAGCCGGGATTCGAACCCATTATCATAGGTTTCTGGCGTGCCAAAGGGACGCAACACTGCACAGCAAATAGCGGCGCCTTAGACGACTGGGCCACCCGTGTAACCTGCAAGAAGACTCGTCCCCCTATCGATGAATGTTATGTGCGAAAATCCGACAAACCAGTCCGAATGCGCGTATGATCTCAAGTTCTTCGTCAAAGAATCCTTCAGAAATAATTTTTGATTTTACACATGTCTTGCCTCTAAAATATACCCAAAACAGTTAAAGGTGTTCAATCATACTGTATAATATCGCATGTCCTGATGTGCTTTAAATTGCATTTGAAATATATATAATCTATGGGGAAATATATGTGAACCATTACACAACGCGTTGACAATTGTTTTAGGTATGCCCGTTTGCGCTAAGACGCAACCCGGTCGCAAAAATGGCCACGAGAGGGGCACGAGTCGCTATTCGGATTGTCCCGGAATAACACGAGTTTGTCACGAATGAGCTCACTGAAGTCATCAAGGAGTTCGCCGCTTGTCGTTGAAATTATGTTACAAATTAAGCTACACGGGTTAGATATTCAATAAGTGAGTGAGTGAGTGTGTATTGTTTTACGCCGCTTTTAGCAATATTCCAGCAATATCACGACGGGGGACACCAGAAATGGGCTTCACACATTGTACCTATGTCGGGGATCGAACCCGGATCTTTAGCACTTGTATAATTGTATTATGACAATATTTCTACTTAAGTGCCTCATAGGCCATGTTGGCCAGACAATGTACATTAATACATGTAGGTGTGATATGTAGTATTATTTGTATTTACATCGTGTGACAAGATGATTAAATAATCTTCTTCCTCTAATCCTTCACACTTCTGCACAAACACTTGATGTGAAACAAATCGTTGGAAAATGAGAAGCTGTTTAAGTGGACCTTTTTTAATAATTTCATTAACATTATCATGTTGTTATCCATTTATGTTACACAATTAGAATGTACTAGGTATGTTCGATTTTGAAAATTTTAGTCAAACGGAGTTAACCAGTGTCAATCAAGGATATCCGACTCAGAACGTATAAAATACAACCTTAGATGCAATAATGGCTGCCAGGAGACGGAGAAACCCCAAACACTTTGCCAAAATACACAGCTTCAGAGAAGTTAACAAGTGTTTCATTTCGTGGCAAAGCTGTCATCGTATCTTTGTCTATTGAATGTCAATCGAAAGTGACATTTGCACTGACATATATACAATCAATATCCAGTTAATTATATTCATTAAAATCTCTATATTCATGATTGAATCTTTAAATTAAACTACATTTCTTTGACGATAACGTCACTTGGAGACTGCGAACCAGAGAACCGTGCCCCAGGCACTGACAAGACGCAATCAGGCCCTATTTATTTTTTAAAGTATTTATATCAACGATCGAAAGTTACACTTCACTGACATATATAATAATCAATACCTAGTTAGTTATATTCATTAAAATCACTATATTCATGATTGAATCAATAAATTAAACAAATTTTCTTTATAGGTGGACCCGTGAAGATTCGGGATAGAATAGGTCTTCAGCAACCCATGCTTGCCGTGAAAGGCGACTATGCTTGTCGTAAAAGGTGACTAACGGGATCGGATGGTCAGGCTCGCTGTCTTTGTTGATGCATGTCACCTATCCCAAATGCGTGGATCGATGCTCATGATGTTAATCACTGGATTGTCTGGCCCAGACTCGATTATTTACCGACCGCCGTCATATAGCTGGAATATTGCTGAGTGCGGCGTTAAACAACAAACCAAACTAAACCAAACCTTTTACAGACGCCCCAAACACGGACAAGACGCCATCAGGACTAAACGGTGCGTTCCTTTCAAAACCCTGGCCGACGGGGGTGAACCAAGGTATAACCCAAGTTGACCTTGATTGACCAATGTTAGCTCATGTCAACTCATTTACGTCATAATACGGTTGACCAAGGTCTCCCTTATCGACTGAATCCTTGGGGTACTTTGGTTAGCAAATTTTCATAATCGAACGCACCTTCCAATACCGCAGGCTTGTTCGAGTGTTGGTGGTGTAAGGGAGGTAACTCCAACAATTTCAACATTCCAGACAGAGGCACTTCAAACATGTTGTTTACTGTATTCATATCAAACCAATTTGACGCAAATAAGTTTCATACATTCGTGAATACGGAATGGAATTGAAGAGTGGTCTAAAATAGGTGTGTCCGGCACACTAATTGTATAAATATAACTAGAACAATAACATCAGGACATCACATGAGCCTGTAATAGATCAGACTTCACACCTGACCGGTTTGTGAGTCTTGTTTCTCAAATCGAAAACAGTATCTATGACACAAGGCTGAACCCAATACTATGCTGGTACAAAGGCTGCTCTACTTTCTACCCACATGTTCGTTTACTTACCAATATCTGGAAGACAGACACAAACCGAACTGATCACAGAGTCACCGAGAGTGTTATTGGATCAATTAGCACTTTGATATCTTGATTTTTAACAACTAGGCTACCAAACCAATACTGTTATTGGATCAATTAGCGCTTGGATATCTTGATTTTTAACAACCTACCCAACCGAGGGTGTTATTGGATCAATTAGCTCTTGGATATCTTGATTTTTAACAACAAGGCTTCCCCACCAATACTGTTATTGGATCAATTAGCACTTGGATATCTTGATTTTTAACAACTAGGCTACCCCACCGAGTGTGTTATTGGATCAATTAGCACTTGGATATCTTGATTTTTAACAACTAGCCTACCCCACCGAGAGTGTTATTGGATCAATTAGCTCTTGGATATCTTGATTTTTAACAACTAGCCTACCCCACCGAGAGTGTTATTGGATCAATTAGATCTTGGATATCTTGATTTTTAACAACTAGGCTACCCCAACGAGAGTTTTATTGGATCAATTAGATCTTGGATATCTTCATTTTTAACAACTAGGCTACCCCACCGAGAGTGTTATTGGATCAATTAGCTCTTGGATATCTTGATTTTTAACAACTAGCCTACCCCAACGAGAGTGTTATTGGATCAATTAGATCTTGGATATCTTGATTTTTAACAACTAGCCTACCCCACCGAGAGTGTTATTTGATCAATTAGCTCTTGGATATCTTGATTTTTAACAACTAGCCTACCCCACCGAGAGTGTTATTGGATCAATTAGCTCTTGGATATCTTGATTTTTAACAACTAGGCTACCCCACCGAGAGTGTTATTGGATCAATTAGATCTTGGATATCTTGATTTTTAACAACTAGGCTACCCCACCGAGAGTGTTATTGGATCAATTAGATCTGGGATATCTTGTTTTTTGCCAACTAGGCTACCCCACCGAGAGTGTTATTGGATCAATTAGATCTTGGATATCTTGATTTTTAACAACTAGGCTACCCCACCGAGAGTGTTATTGGATCAATTAGATCTTGGATATCTTGATTTTTAACAACTAGGCTACCCCACCGAGAGTGTTATTTGATCAATTAGCACTTGGATATCTTGATTTTTAACAACTAGCTACCCCACCGAGACTGTTTTTGGATCAATTAGCTCTTGTAACCTGATGTACGTTAGTAGTCGCCATTTTTTATCTGAAAGTTGGCATGATATATGAAAGGCATTGGCGTATCAGTCTCATCAAATAGGTTTCAGATTCAGGTACAGTTAGCCAAAGAGAGCACATACATGTCTATATAGTTCCAACAGAGGCCATTCTGGATGTACAAGTGATTTGGAGGAAGGGTAATTTTTTTCAAAGACAGGCAAGTTTGCCTTCACATTAGGAGTAAATTACTTTGTAAGGTAACCCCTTCCTTTGAAGTAGAATACATTGAAGTGGTGACTCCTAAATGTTCGTTTCTCAGATATGATTGCAATTCTTCAATCAATCAACCTTTATTTACAAATATGCTGAAAGGCTACATGCCCATTGTACATATTGCATTGGAAGTGTAATATACATATGATCAACTAATCCTTGATATGCATTTTCTATAATTCATTGCATGAAATACATGTGATGTCACATTTTACATGTTGCCATTTCCGAAGCAAATAAACTTGACAATATTTGGTGGTTTGTACATATAAGGAGATAAATATTCAATACGCAAATGATCACATATATATATTACTTGACACACAACGAAAAGATCATACTCATCTCGTACTTCCTGCTTATTGGATATTTTACAAACTCTGTATTCTTTTAACATTTGTGTGTTTGTTCCCTGTTCAAAGTTAAGATTAGGCGGTGAGCATCTTATTAGAGAAAAAAAGATATTCTATTTTGGCAAAAGAGGTGTCAAAAGGTATTCTTCAGTTATACATTGATTTGTAATCATTACATTAAATTTTACCAAGTTCAAAAATAGTTTTCTTAACAGATGCGACCCAATTTAGGCTTCCAGAGCTATCATACAATGACATCATTTCATAACATTTTCTTGGATATCTATAAGAAGGTATATATTAATTTTACCAAATGCCTTGGAACTTAATCCTGTGCATATGTAAACAATGTAACTTTACCACATTCACCATACACTTAACAGATGTTGAAGGTATGTTTTGTAGAGGCTACGGTATTGAGGCTACGAGATGAGGACACTATTATTAATTACATGTACAAGTATATTATTTATTTATTTTTTGAAAGTGTTACTTTGACCTACATGTAAAAATATTCAAGCTTATTTGTTTGAACACAATCCATCAAGCGTGAACTCAATGTAAACTGTAATAATTTTTATCACCGATTTTAATTGCACCTGATTTTTTTATGTTGCTTCTCCTTATGTTTATAAAAAATATGTTTGTCATATTCTTTCAGTCTTGTGTAAACAGTGACGCCAGGTTGGCCTCCATCATTCACATATGCTGAATCACTTAACTTGGCATACGTGATTTCTAATCTCACATTTCTGAAGAAACACCTCATGTGAAACATCTCATTGTTTTAGTTGGAAAGTGAACAGCTGCCCAAGTGAAATTATTTCATTAACATCATTATTTTGTTATCCATTTTAATTCAAAATTACAAAACACTGACGAAACATCAATATACCGTATCCCCCATACCGCAGGTAAGTTCGGGCGTGAGACAGGGTGTAAGGGAGGTAACTCCAGCATGCACAATTGTCAAGATCGATGGAACTTTAAATAGGTTGTTTACTGCATTTATATCCAATCAATTTGACCTAAATAAGTGTTATAACAATTGTGAGTAAGGAATGAAATATAAGGAATGTCTCAAATCGGCGTGCGGTGCACAGTAATTGTATGACTATACGATAACAGTGGCGACGACAGCAGGACATCACATAAGCCGATAATAGGTCAGACGGAACATACGAGCGGCCTATGAATATTGCACCTAAAATGAACAATACCTAACACACGGCTAAACCCAGTACTATGATGATATAATTGATCCTCTACTTCCTACCCACATGTTCGTTTACTTACCAATATCTGGAAAACAGACACGAACCGAACTGTTTACTGAGTTACCGCTGAGAATGTACAGGTCTGTGTGTGGGTCACGTGATCTACTTTCGGTTCAAGTGTACAGGTGAATGGTGAGTGGAAAGTTTATTGTGTCTAATAATAATTATGTGTAATATGACTAATGTGTCTAATTTTGAAAAATGTATCGTTCCTACGATGGCCCATAAGAGACATGGAGTCTGTTTTTCAATTATTTGATATTTCACTTACTTTTATCGTAACCTTTTGCAAATCAACACAATTTGTCATATGAATATGTGATAAATCATGTATAAATACAAACGAAAACATGTAAAATATACTTTCAAGTAGCTATTTAATCGGTGATATGTGAAGCGAAAATGTCAAAAACTAAAATGAAAATGTCAAAAACAAAAACAAAAACGGATATGTACGGTGACCCATAAGAGAATATTTTGATATTTCACTTACTGTTATCGTAACCTTTTGCAAATTAACACGATTTGTCATACAAATAATTGATAAATCATGTATAAAGAAGATGGAAATACAGAAACTATTTCCACCGCGGTGGAAATATCATCACTGCGGTGGAAATATTATCACCATGGTGGGAATACTATCACCGCGTTGGAAATAGTTTTCTATATTTTCCTTTTAGTTTTCGACATTTTCGCTTCACTTTTCAGCGATTCAATATCTTCTTTATACATGATTTATCACATATTTGCATGACAAATCGTGTTAATTTGCAAAAGATTACGATAACAGTAAGTGAAATATCAAAACATTGAAAAACAGACTCCATGTCCCTTATGTGCCACCGTACTTATGAGCCAACGTCCGTTCCCATAGTTCAGTACTTGCAAAATGCTGCCTTAGCGGGAGAACAAAATCAAACATGGAGCGCGGTTCTTATTTTCACAACAACTTCAGCAATAAAACCATCATGGTACGAAGCCTGACCACCCCGTACTGATTGTATGAGTGTTATCTGTACACGTGCATTTGACATTTGTCGTAGGATAGGAGTATGAGTGAGTGAGTTAAGATTTATAGTCACATGTAGGGTAGGATGGTTTAATTTTCATTGATTTTGTGTGGTTTGTTAGTCATTTCCAGTATGATGTGGAATGGTTTGTAGAGACTGCGATATAGGCGAGACGAGGACACTACTATTCATTACGTGTATAGGGATCCGTGAAGATAAGGGGTAGAATAAGTCTTCAGCAACCCATGCTTGTCGTAAGAGGCGACTAACGGGATCGGTTGGTCAGGTTCGCTGCATTGGTTGATGCATGTCATCGTATCCTAATTGTGTGGATTGGTGCTTATGGTGTCAATCACTGGATTGTCTGGTCCAGACTCGATTATTTACAGACCGCCGTCACATAGCTGGAATATTGCAGAGAGCGGCGTTAAACAACAAACAAACGTGTATAAGGCGAGATGAAGACAGTACTATTCATTACGTGTATAAGGCTAGATGAGGACATTACCTTTCATACAGCTGGGGTATTGCTGAATGCGGCGTTAAACAAAAAAAAATTAAAATCTTGTTTCAGTGATTCTAACCATTCGATGTCGCGGTCGCGTGACGTTAGTCGATGTCACGGTTCTACTGTTTTTTTTTCTAAATTTGACTTTCCGATCCAAAACCAGCTCGTATGACATCCACTCTATTTCTTTGCTTGAATTAAATTATAGTGACGTGATGACTCCTTAATACTAGTATTCGTTTTTTACTCCACTATCCCATATGACTTAAGAAAAAACTTCATTCCTTGATCCCTGGGGCTTCTGTTACAAATCATTCGTGACCATAGATACAGTTACATATCTATCGTCAGAGGTTCAGGGAAATTTGTCAAAGATGAATTCGAATGCCATCTGAAGTTTACTGAAAAAAACCAATATGTGAAATGCTGGACTTCCTCATTGATAACATCTATATAAAAATTTGGGGGTAAGACATTTAGGCAAAAAGTAGGCATATCCATGGGCACCCTTTGTGATCCCTTTCTTGCTGATCGGCATCTTTATGCATATGAATCGGACTTTCTGCTCGAAGTCAAACAAGGTAATTTAGCCAAGAAGTTTAACTTGAGCGTCAGGTATGTCGATGACCTGATATCGTTCAATTACCAATTCCCTTCCACAGACTTACCCACCTGAACTAGAAATAAAGGAGACCAGTGAGACCACCTCATCTGTTTCATATTTAGATCTAGGCATAAATATTATATAATAGTCAACTTTCCCTTTATGTCAAGCAATATCCTGCAGCCTCAGCCCTTTGTGTCCAGAAATGTTGTTTGATCAGAGTGACAACATTCAAGGCTTTCAAAATGTTATAAAGTAGACATGTGGAAGACATTTCCAAATTTGACGCATCGGTTTCAAGAATGATGTCCGATGCAATTCCCTATTTTGACACGTACCATATTGTCCCAACAATTGACTTGCCTTTGCATCTGGGTGGAACCGACATAGGCTCACCTTTTCGCGAACACCTGGTTTCAACACTGTTGGATAGTGATTCATGGACGCATGCTCATGAAAGAGTCGGAATCGTAAATCGACTCTGCTTTTGCAGTATGTCACTTTTATTCAGATATAATAGCATCTGTTATGCACAGGGTGTAAGAGGGAATGTTTTGTGGAGACTACTGCTAATTACATGTATATTATTGATTTATTCTTCAAAATGTTACTTCGGCCTATATTCAATTTAACCATGACCTATGTACAAAGTGCTATAACTTTAATCACTGATACAAATAGGATATAAATAGGACATAATGGACGTATACGGTTCCACTTAATTCTTAATGTTTCTTCTCAATGTACTTTGCACAAATATGTTCCGTCATATCTCCCGACTATAAGTAAACAGTGACGCCAGCTTGGCCTATACGATCACATGTGGAAAAGCACTTAACTTGGAAGATGATTTCTAATCTTTTCACTTTTCTGCAGAAACAACTGATGTGAAACATTGTTATTTTTGAATTTGGAAAGTGTGCAGCTTCTCAAGTGACATTATTTCATTACCGTCATTATATTGTTATTCACTCAGTATCCAGAATTACTATTTACTGACAAAACGTCATCAGATCGCGACACAAATACTGCAGTCTGATTCAGGTTTTGGACGTGGTGCGAGGGAGATGTAAGCCTCTGCATGTACAATATTCTAGATAGAGACAATTCGAAATAGGTTGTAAGTGAGATAACGAAAATGCTTAACACAATTACGATTATTTTAATGACACTTATAAAAGAAAAAATATATATAAGGAATTGTCCCCTGGATGTTACTGTTCATGCAACACGGAAGAGGAGAGATGGAATCTGCCCTTTGGCGACGTTAGTGCAATTGTTGCTGTGTTTTGAGTCCCTGAAGGTAAAACGCACACCGTCAGCACATAAAATCTCTCTCTTTCTATTTTCTCCTTGCCACGTAGCCCTGCCTTGTATCAGCACTGCCAGAGTATACCATACTCCCGCTGTCATAGCAACAGGCTTCTCAAACATCACATCAAACACTTGACTGTTGACTTTGTACTCAGTTTTATCTTGAATCCTACACTGGAGAACATCTTCCTCGTTCCCAAAGTAGGTGGTGACAAAGTAGGTAGAGGGTGTAGTCGCAAAGGCAGGCCCATACAGGCTGTATCCACAGAGCATTAGGTTTCGGTCACTTTGGAAGGAAATGGCATCATGAGCATCACTCGAAACACCCCAGCCTACACACTGTGTTGAAAACCTAGTTATGGAATGTGCGGTTCCTTGTTTTCTCTGCTTAGTGTTGAAGGGTTTCACATCATTGTCAGGGCATACACAATATTCCAAGATGCTGAGGCGCTCTGGTTCAGTCAAAAGACCGCTAGCTTTAACTTCCTTAACAATAAACATTTGCTTTAAAAGAGGAAATCTGACTTTAAAAAAAGTCTCTCCAAGAACCGTTCGCTTTGTCTCAGGAGTTACCTCCCTTCCCTGACGTCTGCACTCTGCCTCTGCCCAGCGGTTAACGGCGCTAAAGATGACGTGCTCCTCGGCTAACAAATCATCTGACTCCACAATCTTCTGCAACAACACTTGGCTCAGTGTCAGGAAACCAGATGACTGTAGTGACCTCTCACCTGTATCTTTAATCAAGGTCAAGGCCTTCTGAAACAACTGGCTTTGATCAAAACGATGAGCAGCATCTAGAATCACACAGGCGTTGTCAACGTTGAGGTGTTTCTCCAGGATCTCCAGACATTGTGATTCTAAGGCGGTGATAGCATATTTTCTGGAGGCGTACAGTAAAGCTGTTACGTTGTCAGCATCAACAGTTGTGTTGTCTGTGTAAAGGTATCTGAAGAAGGAGAGGACTACAAATTATTTTGCTACCAAATGATGCAGTATTTGAAAAAAGATAATACTACCGCTCAACATTAAATGTATTTAAGATCAGTTAACATTTACATGCCCGAATTTTTTATTTCATGGTTGACATATGTTGTCGTTGGAGTTGTATGTGAATTTAATGCTGCTTTGGAGAGGTTTTCAACAATCATTACGTCTCTCATTTTAGAACGAGGTCTGACATGCCTAATTAACTGATCAAGGTATTAGACAGTTTTCACTTAGGTTAAATCCGTGAGTATGGAATCTGTTTAGGAGACTGGTCATTCTCTTGTGTTGAAGTTTTATATATTTTCAATATCCCCACTTGAGCATGACATGTACCCAACATGTAGCCCTACAGCGCTGGTATAAGATGGCTTTAGACTTTAAATTCTCAACAGACGCCTTCTTTAAAAGAGCCGCGCTGGTAAAAGGCCGAAAACAAGGACCAATGCCTACATCAGCTGGACCGACAGCCTGCACTCAGTATTCTCTCTGGGGTATGATGGTCATCATTATCACAGAACTATAAAAACTGTTTGTTTGTGAGTACAGTGTTACTATTATTGTTTTCTAAATAATGTTCTGTTCTGTAATAGTGTAATGATCAATACTTACAAGAGAAACTGTCTGAAATCCTTAGGCTCTATTTCCGGAACATTGACTTCCGACGTCTCCGCCAGGGGGCCGGTAAACATGGCGTGGAACACACAACTTCTGCTGATGAGCACGTAGCGATGGGCCTTGATCACGTGACCTGTACTTCCAACTCGAAATGTGACGTCACAAAGCTCTTCCGCATCGAACATGCGTAAATTACATTGAGCGAGGGTCTTCCCCGCTTGCCAGTTGTCAACAAACCCTGACGCACTTTCAGCTTGTTGTACGTTCACAGCCGCCATTTTATCTGAAAGTGTGCATGACATAATAAAGAAATTGAACAAATAGTTTTCAGATCCAGGTACAGTTACCCAACGAAAGCTCATGCATGTATCCCCACGTAACATGTTTTTGAGCCTCAAATCTTTACGAGTTCTTTAATAATACGCTACCATGCGCCTCATGACGTAATCAAGATAGACGCTTCAAAGCTCACTGCATTCGTCATCACTCGCCCCTTTCCGATACCTGCAAGAGTGAGTAAATGAGTGAGTTGGGTTTAACGCCGCTTTTAACATTATTCCAGTTATATCACGGCGTGTCAGCTTAATGTGGGAGGAAAGCCCGAAGTGATGCAGGTCTCAGACGTTTACTACTTCGGTGAAACCCACGAGCACGGGTATGGTGCTGACAAACCTAGAAACATAATCGGGGCGAACTGGGATTCGAACCCATTATCATAGGTTTCTGGCGTGCCCAAGGGACGCATCTCTGCACAGCGAATCGCTGCGCCTTAGACGACTGGGCCCCCACCGTGCCCCCACATTGATAACAACAACTAAATATCTATAAAAGCAATGGAAATTGTTATGCGACGTTAAGTATTTAGTTTGGAATTGAATACAAGCGCAGGTATCGAAAAAAAGCATGTCTGGCATTATAAAAATGTAGTTAGGCGTCTTTTAAGAACCAACACAATGAATAGGCGGGATTATGTATCACAGAAAGCGATTAGCACATGGATAAAATGAGACAAATGTAGGTGGTAGCATACAATAGACATTATGAAAGATTCCAACACCCTTCAAACAAAAAGATCCGATTTACTAAAACTTTTTGAATCAAACCTTTTACAAGGGCTGTATAAAACATACTCGTGCATCCTATCACATAAGAACTATCACTGATGCACAAAACAGCACATATGTAGTGTGCATATCAGTTAACTTAATGTTCTTTGTCATGTTATTTGTTCAGTGTATAATGGGATTTATATTACAAATGAAAGTGAAACTATGTTCTAGGCACTCACTCGGACAGACAGGGATAGAACAGGGTCTGTTGCTTGTTTCTTGTAATGGTTCAGTACAATCTGCTCCACCATTCGTTGGTGGGGGGTTAGTGCATTGTCGCCGACGAATAGAAAATCCAGTGACACCCACACCACATGTCAGGGAACATGCAGGGGGGGACCAGTCTCCCCAAGGTGTTACCCCACCATTGACAGAAGAGTACGAAAAGCAATACAGTTCGAGTTTAAAGCAAGGAAAATAGGACACATTTTCGTAAGGTGAATTATTCGTTTATAAGAATTTCATTTTAGAATCCTGCATTCCAGTTGAAGCACCAGAGATATAAAATCTAAGTTAAACAAATGATTTTGCTCATTACGAAGACATTAATACACACTTCAGCACCTTTGCGAATGCGACAGTAAGGCAATTTTATAGTATGGATTTCGACTTTATGCACGTTGCAAAATACTTTTTTGACGTATACATGCACAGTTAAACATACACGTTTCTACAGAAGTCTCCATTAACAACGAATAAAACTGTATTCTGAAATTTTGTAACATTACCTACTGCGGCCTCATGCCTAGCGCGTCAGAAGCCTCGTGTAAACTACGGTTAAAACGAACTCAAAGGGGCCACTAATTTTAGTTCGCTATAACCGTTGTTCGTTCTACATATACAGCAAATGGCCGGAACTGGTGCTTTAAATTGCATTTGAAATATATATAATCTATGGGGAAATATATGTGAACCATTACACAACGAGTTGACAATGGTTTTAGGTATGCCCGTTTGCGCTAAGACGCAACCCGGTCGCAAAAATGGCCATGAGAGGGGCACGAGTCGCCATTCGGCTTGTCCCTGAATAACACGAGTTGGTCACGAATGAGCTCACTGAAGACATCAAGGAGTTCACCACTTGTTGAAATTATGTTACAAATTAAGCTACACGAGGTAAGATATTCAATAAGTGAGTGAGTGAGTGTGTATTGTTTTACGCCGCTTTTAACAATATTCCAGCAATATCACGACGGGGGACACCAGAAATGGGCTTCACACATTGTACCTATGTCGGGGATCGAACCCGGATCTTTAGTACTTGTATAATTGCATAATGACAATATTTCTACTTAAGTGTCTCATAGGCCATGTTGGCCAGACAATGTACATTAATACATGTAGGTGTGATATGTAGTATTATTTGTATTTACGTCGTGTGACAAGATGATTAAATAATCTTCTTCCTCTAATCCTTCACACTTCTGCACAAACACTTGATGTGAAACAAATCGTTGGAAAAATTAGAAGCTGTTTAAGTGGACCTTTTTCATAATTTCATTAACATTATCATTTTGTTTTCCATTTATAAACTAGTGTCCAAAAGAAACGATACCACCTGTTTGCAACGACATAAAAGAAAAACTAAACAATGCAGAAGTTTAGGATTGGTGTTATGCTTTTGAGAAATCCTTTCACAACATCTGTACAAAAATTTCATTTCAATAAAATCTGTACAACCAATATGACAAGCCTTTAAAGATGGGTGGGGTCGAAAAAAGAACATTTCGTTAGAGCACTGATCACAGAAACAACGGGAAATGTCACACCACACGTCTCAAAGTCAAGTCAGTAGCGGGTATGTCCACCGTGAGCATCAATACATGCCAGAACACGCCTACGGACTGATGACGTCAAACGTCTGATGACGTTTGGAGTGATGCGTTGCCATTCCTCGAGGAGACATCGTTCCAAGTCCTGGACGTTGACTGGAGGCACACGGCGACGTCGGATTTGCCGATCGAGGTGGTCCCATACGTGCTCGATGGGATTCATGTCCGGTGAACATGCGGGCCATGGCAAAACCTGTACGTTGGCGTTGGCAAGGAAGTTCTGTGTCAATCTTGCTGTGTGTGGCCTTGCATTGTCATGTTGGAAAAGAAGTCCACGTGGCTGTTGCTGAATAAAGGGCACCACAACAGGCCGTAGGATGTCATCAAGATAACGCTGTGCATTCAGGTTTCCACGAATTACGACAAGCATCGTTTTGACGTCACCACAAATGCCACCCCAAACCATTAACCCTCCACCTCCAAACGGCCGGACCTGTTGGATACAGTTAGGCGCCAAACGTTCACCAAATCGTCGGTATACAAGCTGCCGTCCATCGTTTCTGAAGATGAGGAATCTGCTCTCATCAGAGAACATAACACGTGCCCAGTCCCGCCGTTGCCAACGTCGAACTCGCCTGGCCCAGATCAGTCTGTTGTTCCGGTGTCGAGGCGTCAGGAGCGGTCCGCGGTAGGGATGACGTGGCCGGATACCATACTGCCGTAGTCTCCTGTAGACGGTCTGTCGACTGATCCTGTGTCCCAGTGCTGTAGCCGCCGTGGACGTCGCTGTTACGGTGCGGTTCCTCAGGTGTAATACTCGGATGTAACGATCTTCACGGGGCGTGGTTACTCGTGGTCTTCCACTCCTGGGCCTGTCTGACGTCTGACCTGTCTGACGTAACCGCTGCATCAACCTGGTGATAGTGATGCGTGCGCAGCCCAACCTTCTGGCGACGTTGACGTGTGACGCGCCTTGTTGGACCATTCCAACGGCTCTCTCTCTCTCGATGGCTGTCAAACGTGGCATATCTTGTGTTCTTTTTGTTGCTGTGATATCAACGTGTCTGATCAGCCGTTTTATACAGTTTTTCTGCACGTGCAGAACATACTAGAGAGGGAAATGTCACTTTCACGAAATTTACGTTTTTTCCCGGAAGTGATCACGTGTTCCCGGTATTTTTTATCGACTATGCTGTGTTTGGGATGTGCAATACGAATTGGCATGTTTTCATACTTGACAATTCACTTAGTAAAAAACAATTTTGAAAGTAAATTGGTATCGTTTCTTTTGGACACTAGTTTATTACACAATTAGAATGTACTAGGTATGTTCGATTTTGAAATTTTTAGTCAAACTGAGTTAACCAGTGTCAATAAAGGATATCCGACTCAGAACGTATAAAATACAACCTTAGATGTAATAATGGCTGCCAGGAGACGGAGAAACCCTAAACCCTTTGCTAAAATACACAGTTTCTGAGAAGTTAACAAGTGTTTCATTTCGTGGCAAAGCTGTCATCGTATCTTTGTCTATTGAATGTGAATCGAAAGTTACATTTGCACTGACATATATACAATCAATATCCAGTTAATTATATTCATTAAAATCTCTATATTCATGATTGAATCTTTAAATTAAACTACATTTCTTTGACGATAACGTCACTTGGAGACTGCGGACCAGAGAACCGTGCCCCAGGCACTGACAAGACGCAATCAGGCCCTATTTATTTTTGAAGTATTTATATCAACAATCGAAAGTTAGATTTCACTGACATATACATGTATATAATCAATATCTAGTTAATTATATTCATTAAAATCTCTTTATTCATGATTGAATTATTAAATTAAACTACATTTCTTTGACGATAACGTCACTTGGAGACTGCAAACCAGAGAACCGTGCCCCAGGCACTGACAAGGCGCAATCAGGCCCTATTTATTTTTTAAGTATTTATATCAACAATCGAAAGTTACATTTCACTGACATATATAATAATCAATACCTAGTTAGTTATATTCATTAAAATCACTATATTCATGATTGAATCAATAAATTAAACAAATTTTCTTTATAGGTGGACCCTTGAAGATTCGGGATAAAATAGGTCTTCAGCAACCCATGCTTGCCGTGAAAGGCGACTATGCTTGTCGTAAAAGGTGACTAATGGGATCGGATGGTCAGGCTCGCTGTCTTTGTTGATGCATGTCACCTATCCCAATTGCGTGGATCGATGCTCATGATGTTAATCACTGGATTGTCTGGCCCAGACTCGATTATTTACCGACCGCCGTCATATAGCTGGAATATTGCTGAGTGCGGCGTTAAACAACAAACCAAACTAAACCAAACTCTTTACAGACGCCCCAAACACGGACAAGACGCCATCAGGACTAAACGGTGCGTTCCTTTCAAAACCCAGGCCGACGGGGGGATGAACCAAGGTATAACCCAAGTTGACCTTGGTTGACCAATGTTAGCTCATGTCAACTCATTTACGTCATAATACCGTTGACCAAGGTCTCCCTTACCGACTGAATCCTTGGGGTACTTTGGTTAGCAAATTTTCATAATCGAACGCACCTTCAAATACCGCAGGCTTGTTCGGGTGTTGGTGGTGTAAGGGAGGTAACTCCAACAATTTCAACATTCCAGACAGAGGCACTTTGAACATGTTGTTTACTGTATTCATATCAAACCAATTTGACGCACATAAGTTTCATACAACCGTGGGTACGGAATGGAATTGAAGGGTGGTCTAAAATAGGTGTGTCCGGCACACTAATTGTATAAATATAACTGGGACAATAACAACAGGACATCACATGAGCCTATAACAGATCAGACTTCACACCTGGCCGGTTTATGAGTCTTGTTCCTCATATCAACAACAGTATCTGTGACACAAGGCTGAACCCAGTACTATGTTGGTACAAAGGCTGCTCTACTTTCTACCCACATGTTCGTTTACTCACTAATATCTGGAAGACAGACACAAACCGAACTGATTACAGAGTCAACGAGAATGTTATTAAATCAATTAGCACTTGGATATCTTGACTTTTAACAACTAGGCTACCCCGCCGATACTGTTAATGGATCAAATAGCACTTGGATATCTTGATTTTTAACAACAAGCCTACCCCACCGAGAGTGTTATTGGATCAATTAGCACTTGGATATCTTGATTTTTCACAAATAGTCTACCCCACCGAGACTGTTATTGGATCAATTAGCTCTTGCAACCTGATGTACGTTAATAGTCGCATTTTTTTATCTGAAAGTTGGCATGATATATGAAAGGCAGTGGCGTATCAGTCTGATCAAATAGGTTTCAGATTCAGGTACAGTTAGCCAAAGAAAGCACATACATGTCTATATAGTTCCAACAGAGGCCATTCTGGATGTACAAGTGATTTGGAGGAAGGGTAATTTTTTTCAAAGACAGGCAAGTTTGCCTCCACATTAGGAGTAAATTACTTTGTAAGGTAACCCCTTCCTTTGAAGTAGAATACATTGAAGTGGTGACTCCTAAATGTTCGTTTCTCAGATATGATTGCAATTTTTCAATCAAACAACCTTTATTTACAAATATGCTGAAAGGCTACATGCCCATTGTACATATTGCATTGGTAGTGTAATAAACATATGATCAACTAATCCTTTGATATGCATTTTCTATAATTCATTGCATGAAATACATATGATGTCACATTTTACGTGTTGCCATTTCGGAAGCAAATAAACTTGACAATATTTGGTGGTTTGTACATATAAGGAGATAAATATTCAATACGCAAATGATCACATATACATATTACTTGACACACAACGAAAAGATCATACTCATCTCGTACTTCCTGCTTATTGGATATTTTAAGAACTCTGTATTCTTTTAACATTTGTGTGTATGTTCCCTGTTCAAAGTTAAGATTAGGCGGTGAGCATCTTATTGGAGAAAAAAGACATTCTATTTTTGGCAAAA